AATTCTGCCTATTCCTTTATCAGACATATTTAACCAATGCAAGTGGCTTCTCCTCCCACTGGTGTTTTCTAGTGGGCATCCAACTCCTCCTCAATCTCTCATTATGTAGGTAAGTGTGCTAATGGCTACCCCACAGGCATACGACGAATGAAATGCGCATTTCTGTTTCTCGCGTCCCCACTCGCTGGTCATGTTAAGGCCTGTATACTCTGCCATTTTCGTGATGACAATTTTCTTAAATATGTTGGCTGATTCATCAGGCCAAATCTTCGGACTGTTGCAACCTGCCTTCATCTCCACTAACCCCATATTCTTTCATGACCTCACTAGATAACTTTCGTTTTTGCTTCAAATTTCCGTTATTATGCCTCTCTCTCATATAATGTAAACAATAGAGACATCTTGGTTTATCTATCTCGCTAAGTTGATCTTAATTGCAACCACACTGTTTGTATTTTGCTTTTCCAGTGTGTCAAAAAAGCCAGATCTACTAATTCCTATTGGCGATTTAGGCATGGGGTGTATAGCTGTCCATATGGTATTTACTGGGGGGGGGGGGGGGGTGGCAGAAAGCGAAGTAGTCATGAAACCAAGATTTCTACATATCTCCTCTTTGTTCTTGAAACTTCATTCACCAAGAATTTGATGGTGTCCAGATGGGACCTGGCTACCAACAAATGTGGATGAATAACATTAGAGCGAAAGGTCTCATTCATGTACATTTTTAATTCTTATGGATTGAGTTAATGAGAGCAGACGTTCATCTTAAAGAATAAAGGACTATTCATAAGCATATGCACACGGACTTTTTCACTACTGGTGGAAATGACAAAATGAAACTAGCTTAACGAATTGGGTAGAGTGCAACTCTCTAGAAGCTCATCAAGGTGAAACATTTATTGTCTCGCCCTGGTCTTTATTCATCAACCGAGAGTAGTGAAGGTTTTGTAACTAGATTTGAAGGACTCAGATTTGCTCATTGGCTAATCCATTCCAACATCCCCTTTGACAAATCTCCTCTTTTACTGCATAAGATTGTCATTTTTAAATAGGTGAATTTAGGCATTTTAAATTGAGCGCTCAGGATGTTTTAAATAGCACTGACACGAGTCTGAAGTCCAGGGACGTAATAGGAGGGGCGGTTATTACCGTTAGGTCTGAAAATTTTGTTGTCGCCTGGATAGATTATACGCGATTGGCTGTAGGTCCTCTGTGAGTCACTACAAGTGCGGAAATGGCTTATGCGAATGAAATAACGTGAGAGAAATAACGAGTGTGAACTGGGGTAACAAGGAAGTTTCTGCATGATTAGACAAGATTGCTAACCTGTTTGTCAGGTCAGGGTTCTACTTTCAGACGCATAGTTGGAATGGCTGTTTGTTTCAAAATTTAACCATTGTAGGACAATAAATTGGTCGCTTGTATGATTAGCCAATGCTTTTAGTTGATTTTAATAACAGCGAATTATGTTAAGATATAATTGTGAAATAAACAAAAAGTATTGAACATAATAGGTCCTATATTATTTACTTATCGAAATTTCCGAATGCAAACCCAAGTCACACAAAATTCGTCTCCTTAAGCTAAACCATTTCGAATGGTGGGTGAATACCTTTGCCCTCATTAAGGAAAGGTATTCGCGCCTGCCAAATACCAAAGTATTCTCGTGAGGAATTTTGGCAAAGTCCGCCCCCCCCCCTCCCCCTTCTATGCTGGCATGTCTGATTTCCGTAGCTATTATATATATATATCTGTCCAGTAGATATCATTTGACTGCAGTTGACTCAGAGCTGAGAGGGAAGATTCAATCAGTATGCATTTAACTAATCAATTAAATGCATTGTATATAAACACATGTTTGTGTTTAGGTTGTTTAAAATAGTTTCTAGGACCAAGAAATTGCAAATCTGCCTTGAAATAGATGATGGGTGACTTGGAGACAACTTTTGGGAAACGATTGTAACCATACAAAGCACAAACACTGAAGTAATTGGCTTTGTTGCATTAGCACGCCATCAGGGATGAACCAGGAATCGAATAGAGGGCATATCGAAGTCAGGAGGTCAAGAGTCATGCTTTATTTTAACGCTGAAATTACATTTTTGTCTTTCTCATGACTTGTAATATTCACTCTGTAACATCTAAAGCCCGACTTTCGTGATTTGTTACCTTGTTTTCTAGATGATTTCAGAGTTGGTTGATTTGCTTATTTATTTAAATGACATGCACTATGATTCAATCGTGTTGAACTCTACTAATCTTATTCATAATTAAATTTTCTTATGAAACATGGGAAGAACGCGCAAATAAAATTTAATCCTACGTTAGAATTTAATTGCGTACAGGCATTTGTTGAGTGCCTTTTAGGCCTGTCAGAAGTACGTGACAATACGCTAGTTTTGAGTTTTGTACAACATTTCATGATGGCCTTTTGCATTGACCTGAGGATGCACTTCTGCAAAGTTTTATTAGTATTTTGGTAATGGAAAAAATTACCTTCCCAAGCTCGTTGTTTGCTAAATTTTTTTTCGTTCTTACTGAATATTTTTAAGGGGGAAGGGGTTACTTTCAATCACTTTTAGGCAAAGGAGAAGTGTTGAAGTCTTAATAACTTCCAGACAAGGCACAAATCCCAAATTCAATAATGACACTGGATTAGGGAAACTTCATCAATTTATTCAATATTCAATAGAGCACCGACCCATTGATTTAACCCACTTCAACAAATATGTACATTCTATGAATAATGGACAATATAATTGTTGGCGAGATTTTTCTTGGAAGTAAATATTCATCTCTATCCAACAAGAAGGTACTAAAGAGGCGGAGCACACTACAAATCGACGCTGATTCAACGCCTTCCAATTCAGCGCACCTCACCATCTAAAGTGCTTGGCCACCACAGGTTTTATCATTGTTTCTCCCAATTAGGGTATTTATTTACATCTTTCAGTAAACAAGTGGATAGGCATTTTATTCCCGAAAATAACAAGACGGATTTTTTTAGATATGTTACCATTTGCTGTAACACTGTTTTCAGTGAAGTCCTAGAATACTCTCATTGCAACTTGCAAACACTTTTAGTGCATTTCACTACTCCATTTATTTTCCCAACTTAAAGGAGACAATTCTATTCTCACCTGCCCCCCCCCCCCCACCCTCGTCAAATTTTACCAACGTATCGTAAAGGATAAGATGCCAACTGATTTTCAATTTGATGTCTCAAGCAATCTAGGAGGCTGTGTTTTTGTCGTTTAAGGTTTTATCAACATATTGAATACCTGATGATGTTGATGTGCAAAAATTGGCAAAGTTGTTTATCTCACAGGTTTACGCAGCAGCAGAAAAGGATGTAACTTTATATTCAATTCTTTTTTTTCAGGAAAAAACATGGCCCCTGGGTGTATTATGTGCGCAATTCGAGTTGGTGCGTGGGTTAGAGGGAGGAGTGTGAAGTAGAAAGGTAAAGATGAGCCTGGCGCATAAAACCTAAGAGAAAACCCCACCAGCATAATCACAGAACCTGAAGTGAAGGACTGGCCATTAAATTATATACCGATGTATCAATTAGACTAAACATAGAGAGAGAGAGGACTGGAACCATGAGGCCAAATTTGAGCAAAAAATTATGCAGGCTTACCCTTTGTATGACAGACTAAAGTCCCAATGAGGTTAGATGGTCAGGCCCCAGATTAAACGCTGAGAGATGATACTCACCATAAATAGAAATTTGCGACTCATGCAAGACATCAGAGGTCATTATTAGAATACGCATTTCATTCATTTTAAGATTTACACGAGTTCATCTCAATTTGCTAGTATTGACTGTACATTTAATTAAAGCTAAATCGTCGTGACAATAGGAGTCGACAAAATTTCTTGAACTGAATTTGCTTTGACTAAAAATACGACTGAAAAGGGAATCAAATTAAATTTACTCATTCTTTGCTCATATATAAACTCTATGAAAATTCAAACATTGTTTGAACTGTCATTTCTTTAGGAAAGAATTCACGAAAGAAAAATAAATATTTTCGCGAAATTCAGTGGAGCCAGTCATCCTGTTCTAAAGCACCCAACAAGCAAACCTTAAGACCCTGTCTCAACCAGAATTAAGATAATCCTGTTAACAGAACCAACCAAAAAAATTTAAATTAGCGAGCAAAATTATGTCAAAACACAAATGAACACAAGTTGACTTTCCAATTGAAGTAATCATTAAAAAAATCAGTTGCAGATTACGTGTGATGGAGGAGCCACATTGTCGCTCACGAGAATATAATTAATTAATTAATCTAAGCGTAAACCATTAACTAACTTTCAAGGTGGTAGAGATGCATAAGCAGTTCATGCAAAATCACAATCCCTACAAGCAAGCACCGAGAGCTTCATATTGCCCAGGTACCACGCTTCACCACCTAATTTGCAATCCCTAATATACAGCAGCAAAAAAAAACAATAGACGAACTTTACACCTTGGTATTGGTCCGATTTGACTCATGAGAAAAATGGCAACTAATAAAGCGAAAAGGTGAATGCTCAAGCTCGAATATGCGTATTTGTTTACCTGTAGAAAGTACACAACGCAGTGTGTCCTCATACCATCATTTTATTGTTACTACTAATCAACTTTACTCAAAAAGGGTTTAAATAAGTCAAACTGGTGTGTGTTAATATATCTCAGATGATTTGAAATTTTTAAAACGACGGAAGCTTATGCAGGAGCCACCTACAAGTGCGTGAAATCAATAATTTTAGAATTAATGAAAGATAGTTCGTTAGGTTGTATGCGTGTGGCAAGAGCAAGCGGGGAATAGGACAATGTACAGTTGGAAAGAGAAGTGGTGGCAGGGACAAACAACAGCCGAGGGGATGATAATTAAATAAATATAGAGGGTGGGGTCTAGAGAGACAATGAATGAAAGAATATGCGTGTAACGCTTGGCTTTGAATTGAAACTACACACAAAGACGCATCACTGCGAGAAAAAGCATGAGATGCTATAGTTCCATATCTCTCGTTTCGTCATCGGAATAGTTAGACATCGAACTCTCTTCATCTGAACTTGACTCAGCTCCATATTCCTCAGATTTTAGAGCTTCTTCAGTCGCAAAGCGTTGGACGTACTCTAAGGAGTTCAAAGCCACACTTTACCAAAAGCGCCTCACACCATTCGTCATTCCGTGTTCAATCAATTTAAGTCATCAAACAAATCATCGCACAACAAAAGAGAATAGAATCCGAATAAACATTGAGAAAGAGAAAGAAAACTTAACGAACCTTTAACTTTGGAAACATAATCCATGGGCTTATACATAAAAAGTGAAGCAGCATCGCTATTAAGAGGATCAGTAGGATTGGGATAGGCCAAAAGTTGAGGCAAAAAAGATTCAAAAATATTTGTAAGATCTAAAGAAAATTGTTATGAAAATACACGTGATTAGCGAACCATAAACGGCGGACCACTGCTGATTTATCACATCCAAGCAAACAGTTCCGGACCTACATAAAACAAGAAAGGGTAAAAGATATGAAAAACACTTACGCTTCATCGATATTTGGGTGGAAAATCTTATTCATAAAACCTATAGAAGGTGATTTGAAGGGATATCGTTCAGGAAGCTCAACACGAACTTTCCATATTCCCCCTTCATAGGGGGCTAAAGCAAACATATTAATGAAATGAAGCAAAAATTACTTTCTGGAGGGCCATTAAATTTTACCATCAGTTCATTGAGTCCACCAAGGACAGTAACTTCATACTTACTTTCGATTCTAAATGCATGATTTAATAGAAAAACGCGAAAAAGAAATAAAAAAGAAGATATAAATAATTAAAAATTGGAGCTATTATGAATCCGAAGAGATAAATCTTACAATTTAACTACGTCTGTATCCATTCTCTTCTTGCCCGGACTTGGCGACGACATTCTTAAGCCCAAATATCAGAGAACAGAAACTGAGTTACCAATCAGCTGAGCGTTTGACCTAGAAATAAAACGAAACTAAAGATGATCGTTAGTCAAGGACAATCCGAGAGCTTTGTGACAATTCGAAACCGTGAACAGTATTATTGCATATTAAAATAAAATTTTACAAAAACCATATTTATACTATATTTCAGAAAAATTTTTATGGTGAAAGTAAGACATAAATTTTTAATCATGGCAAAATATCAACGATAAGCTATTATTACCAAACAAATTCAATGATTATGCATTTAAAAAATAAAGCTCTATTTATTAAATTAATTGGCAATATAACCCATGCGAATTTGAAGTATTGTGAGTTAATCATATAGCTGACAATCTTATATTGAATGTGAGCGTAATAATGAACTATTAATAAAATTATACCTGAAACTTAGAACTTAAAATAGTGGCACTTCTAAACCTGCTCTAAATGATAATTATAACATACTGAGAGCTGAAAAGGGACTTGATTCATCTAATCTTAAGTGAACCAGAAATGAAATTTGTAATTGAGCTTTCATCGAATTAATATGGTATTCGTTATGGGGTTGGGACTATAGTATTTAGACTTCAATAAGTTTCATTTATTTAACTTAAACATCAAGCGAATATTGAACGTCAAACTTGAACAAATTTCAATATATTTATTATAAAAATAATAAAGTTTAATCATGTCAAGTTTGGTTTCGACTTAAATTTCAAGAGACCGTGATTTATTTTGCAGGAAATTTCAGACCCTCTTTGGCTTTCATATCAATTCAATTTCTTTTGTTCTAAATTTGTGCATTTTGTGTTTTTTTGGCTCAATTTTAGCCTTATTCGTATTTATTAAGATAAAGAGGACTGTTACAACGTGTACTTAATTATTTTAACGCCCAATTTGCCTGTGATAAATGATTTCCTCACCAAATACTATGGCTTTATTCAAAGGCATATGGACAGCTTTATAAATAAAAAAGTTTTTACGAGTTTTAATATTTCTAATAAACTGAGAGATTATGACAGTTATTTAATCTGTAACTAACTTTTGGAATATGATCGAGAGTTTCAAATATAAAATTTAATTATTACCTGGCCAAGACTTGGGAGATGCAAACGGTTTTCTCGCTCTCGTTGATTCACCGGAAAGCTGCCTGAACAACTAACCATGAATGATAGTAAAAGTGATCAAAAGAATCAATTCAAAGGAAGAGAATTTCGAAAAAAAACTTTTTATTATGTATTACAGTTCACTTTATAAAGCAATCTTTGATTTGTCAAATGTAAACCATAAAATTGAAAATTAACAATTCTAATTTATTCAATTATAAAAAGTTTGTCTAAAATTTGTTAGTTTGGGAATTTCGGAAAGATATTAACCAAAACTTTCTTTCTACAATCTTTAGTAAAACAGCAATTTTTCTCCCATATAAGCCTCATCGCAAACTAAAGTAAAACTAGTCAGAATATATGCGTATATTCACTGATAGCAAGTTGTTCATTTACCCATGGAATGTAAAATTTGCTAGAATGCTCAAGTTTATTCAACGCCAAATGGCTTCTCGATCACATTCGTTAAAACTAGCAAAAAATGTCATTTTTACATTTTTGCACATATTATTTCCAAAGTGTAATAGTAAATGCCCTTATGTATTAAGTGCGCCTAAAAGTTATTTTTATTCTTTTAACATTATACTCACTGTTGTGCAAACTGCTCTGATATGTTATCATTACGCAAATTATGAATTATTGCGAAATAAAATATGGTTATACGAAATTTTGCTGTGTGAATTATAAATCATTCGCAGTTAACCGAAGAACGAATACGTGGGACAGGTATCGCGTTGTGCGTCATCGTATGCCTGCATGTCTGCTCGCCAGGATTGGGAGGTGCGGCCGTACAACTCTGTGTGCAGCGACCGTACAAACAGTGACCAATCATCAACCTCTGTTTAACCTAATCCCCCATCCTGATCATGGGTAGCTCCATGCGTGTACACGCTTTATCCACAATATACTCACTGAATAAACGTGCTCCGTGCTACACGTCTGTTTCCTTAATGGCTAGAAGTAGGAGGATCTACTAAGGTAGCAATCCGCTACAAATATGTCTATAACTGGAAATGCGTGAAAATTTCACATTTAAAAAAAACAACTTTCTTTTTAAACGTCTCCTATGATACTCTTGTTCTTACAATTTCATTTTTCATTAA